ATAGGGGGTATTTATATTCGTTTTTGTCGGCCCCGATATTATTACAAGCGGTATTATTTTTGGGCCTTAACAATAAGATAAAATACGAATATTGATTTAATACAAATCCACGTGATTTAATATATATGTCCACGTGTAATTTCTTAATAGGCGAGGCCAAAATTAGGTATCAATAGAAGGCCCCCGACTTTCGGGCATGTTTTGAATGGAACTGTTCTGAAGTCGCATGTACAATCAATTTTGGTCGAATGTAGCTGTAATAAATGACATATGGACATTGTTCGGGTGCTTTGGGACCCGCAGTCATTTTTATCGATCGTGATCAGGCTTCGGCCTGACATATGGAGTTGACTGCGTGGATAGTCAACTTTTTTAAACTGCTATATGAATGGAGGCCTTGTTGGCCTGGTTGGGTAATTCGGTACCTAATTTTCGTTTTTTTATGCGTATAACGTGAAGCGTTTGGTGAATTCACTTCTGTAATGGTGATAATAACATGGATATGTGTGGGTATTCGGGCCCTTAAAATTTTTATGGGATTCGCGATTTTGATGTCGTACTGAGATGGCGTGATTTTGTTTATTTTTCTTAGTAATTTGGACTTGGTCGGATAATTCGATATCCGGTCTTCAGTTTTTCAATATTTTAAAGAATATGATCGTCCCAGCCGGTAAGGTCTTACAGTGCGCCTTACCGATGTGAGTCTTTAAGGAATATATGAACGGTTATCAGCCTTACCAAGCTGAAGAACTTGGTGTAAGCAAAGATTTTACCCTACCGAGCTGAAGAACTCGGTGTAAAGATTTTTCTTTTGTATTTTTGCCAGCCGGGACAGGTCTTATTGACTTTGCCTAACCAGTACGGGTCCAAACATATAAAAGCGTTTGGTGTATTGTATTCTTATATGCGTCGGTCAGGTAGTGTGTTCCTGATCTTTGATGTGATTTATAGGGCATTAGCCTCGCCAAACCAACTTCAGGGTTTGGAAAAGAAGTTTTTATGTTAAAATATATGTATGACGCGCGTATATGATGAATGTATGTATGAATGCGTGAATATATGATAAGCACGTGCAGTAAAGAATTAATGCACAATAAATGACGTTACCTCGATGTTTCGTCGAGTCTGACCTTTTTGCCGGTAGGTGTTGTGCCATACCGGAATATTGTCGTACCAAATCAACTTCAGGATTTGGCGAAAGAAAATATGTTGGCCTGACTAAATTATTGATGTCAGTTATTATCGTAAGCCCGCTAATCAATTTCAGGATTTAGCCACGAGGGGCGGATTATTGCAAGCCCGCTAAATAAACTTTGGGATTTAGCCACGAGGGGCATCAGCCTCCCCAAGCCATCTTCAGGGCTTGGAAGTATCCGGCTGTTTTGCACTATCCTGTCCAGGTCATCTTTGGGACTAGGAAATGTTAGGCGTATGCAAAGTGGACTGTTTTTTCGAGAGTCAGTTAATTGTGTTTCCCAATGGTAGGTTCTATGCCTTGCCTCTTGCGGGGAAGACACACATTTTAATGCGTCGAACTATTTTTCGAGATTCGGCTCTTGCATTCATCAGTTTGAATAAAATTCAGCCCTGACGTTAAAAAACGTGTTGGGCATCGGTTCTCGTCGGTTTGAGCGAATGAGTTCGGCTCCTTGCAAAGATAAATAAACTCGAACTCATCGCGGGTAAGGGGATGCGACCCCGACATAGTTTAATGAATCTGACCCCAGTTGTCGTCGGTTTAAATGGATGAGCTTTCGGGTCTGCGAGCGATGATGAGGTCCATTAGGTCGATCCGATTTAAATGTGATCTGCGGCTCGGCCCCGGGATTGATAAGTGTGGTTGGAGACGAGCAAATGATAAATTGGTCCGGAGAGCTGGTTCCGTCGGCGAGTGTGGGAGTGAATGAATCGGGACTCGTCGGTAATAGAATAATAAATTCGCCTTGTGCGAAGGAGATTGGCCCTGATTATCGTCTATTCAAATAAGTGAGCCCGACCCTTTCCTTTTCTTAAGTCTTTAATTGTTCTGCGCACAAGTTCCTCCTTCTTGGGCGTAAAAGCCCAATTGATAGGATAGTGATAAACAAAACATAACTTCTCAGGTCCAAATACTGATGTGAAGATTCTATTTCATTCTTCTCCGTCGCTTAGCTTTTATCACTGTTTCGTTCTTCTTCTTTTTCATTTCCGATTTGTCATTCTGCATCGGGCATCTCTTAATTTATGAAAGAACATGTGAAATCGATGGAATATTTTTATTGGCGATAATTCTTCTTCGCTTAACTCCTTCGGTTTGTGTCTCAAGATGCAAAGATGATTGGATCTGAGAAATTGACTGCTCAATTATTGACGGCGAAGTGAGCAGGTCCGAAGCTTAGATGATCGACGAGATGAGCCCGTTAGGGGAAGTCGATGGCTTGACGTCGAGCCCGAGCTGAGGTCGGTGATGATCTACGACGTCAGTCGGTCGAACCCGGTGTTAAAGAGATTACCTCAGCTTCAATATCCACCTCGGTGGGCCGATGTCAGCTTGGCCTTGCGGTCAGTTCTGAGGGCTCGTCAGAAAAAGTAAATTCGGATTCACCGTCGGGGTTGAGGTCGGTAATGGTGATGTCGGCCCAAGTTTTAGATCGGCTAGAGATGTTGAAGTCGGATCTGCTTCAACGACCGATGTCGGTTGATTGTAGAAGATGAAGTCGGGTTTGTGTCTGGCCGAGATGTTGAGGTCTACAATGTTCTGATATGAGGTCGATTTTGCTTTCATGAAGTCGGTTGTAAGACATCCGATGAAGTCGGCTATCTTGTCGGTGGATTGAGAGGTCAGATCAATGAAGTCGGATCCCATATCTGTGTTGGGGGTCATCTCGTGAGGTCGGCCGGACGGGGAGTTCGGGCCCCAGTGAGAGAGGTCGGTGGTATCGGTGTCCCGATGAGATGAGGTCGACTGTTTTGAAGTCGATCGGACTCGACGTCGGGTCAGAATTGTCGAGTTGAACTCGGCCCAGCTTGAAGTCAGTTTTTCCAGCTCACGATGTCGGTTTGTGACCCGGACTGGGGTCGGAGAATAGAAGATGGAGTCGGTTGTATAAGGCCCCGAATTTGATCCCGACAGGAAGGTCGGGGTCCCAGATGTAAAGTCGGTTCTGACCGTTGTGACGTCGGTCTGGGATTGAGGTAGGCCCGACAGCCTGAGGTCGATTCTGAGCTCTGAATTCGGTCATCGGTGCCAGTTTGCGAGGTCCCGACAATGTGAAGTCGATTGTGGAAGTCGGGAGTTGCCGAAGAGGATCATGTCGGTTTAAATTGTATGAATTTTGTCCGGGTAGGTGTTTCGATAAAGATGAGGCGGGCCCCGCAATATTGGACGGCAACGTCAACGTGGACTGCTGTGGCGGCGTCAACGTGTACTGGTGTTGAGAGTTTCTTGTCGGCTAAATCACCGGCCATTTTCAGGCGGTGATTGGTAACATGGCTTCCTCTTGGTCAAACAAAATCATTGTTCTCCCTTAGCTGCTGCAACTCTCCCGTTCTCTTCTTCTTTATTTTGTCCTCTGCAACTCTTATCTTCTTGAAAGGTCTTTGCAGATTTTTTATTATTTTTTTATTTATTTATTTTTTATTTTTTTTAGCAACGGGAAGGAAACAGAACGATAGAGGGAGAGGTTTCTTTTCTCATATGATTTTTGGAGAAGGGACAAAGGGATACAACAAAAAATATAGAGAGTATATCGGGTTTTCATCATGTTTATAACAATAAGTGATGGCGTTTGTGGTGTTCAAGTCGGAGAATTACCTCGAACAAATTATGAGTCCTTCCTCTAGCGTCAAATTGTTGTTATGCGAAATTGTAACAACAAAAATGTACACCCATATTCCGTGAATAATCGGTGTAGGATTCGTATGAATTTTTAGTGATTTTTTGGAGATTTTTGCTGTGTTTTTCCTCCTACTTGTTTGTTGAAGGAAGAACAGAAGATAAGGAATGAGAGAAAAATTGAGGCGGTGCCTCATAGTAGATAAGAGAAAGAAGGTAAAAGTCAGCCCCCTCAGACTTATCCTTCTGCCCATCATAGGGGGTATTTATATTCGTTTTTGTCGGCCCCGATATTATTACAAGCGGTATTATTTTTGGGCCTTAAGAATAAGATAAAATACGACAATTGATTTAATACAAATCCACGTGATTTAATATATATGTCCACGTGTAATATCTTAATAGGCGAAGCCAAAATTAGGTATCAACAGTCTCTTTACAGAGTCACTAGTAGGAGGGGTTTCAGTATAATGATTTGTGGTGATGAAGATCCAGACAATAAGAAAACCACGAATAAAAGAAGTGTTTAATAATATTTGGATTCACTTTCTTAATGTTTTTCTCATCGATTAAGTTTTTTTATTATTGTTGTATATTTTATTGCTTTCTTCTCTATTATATTGCTTTCCGTGCAAATGGAGGAGCTAAAACTGGTCTATCGTTAAACTTGAACATAGAAAAAATAATCTTCAAATAAAATACAAATGAGTTTTATTGCATCAATGCTCCCCGAAACCCCATCTACTTGTACACTTGGTTTCACGTTAAACAATCATTCTTCCAATGCAAAATACACTGAAAACAAACGTACGTCAGAATCAAAGTTCGAGTCCCACGCTTAAGTATGAATTTGCAGTAAATAAATACAATGAAATTCCAAAGAGGCACGAGAATTTCTTACCCACTCATACCCAAACTCAAATCCCCCCACACTGTAAAAATCGTGTAATTTTCACCGTAGATCGAAAAAAAACTGATCGATTAACCAGACCTCTTTTGAAATCTACGAAGGTCCTCCAACAACGACAATGCCTTCCTCTTTGCCCGCTCTGTACCATTTTCTTCTAACTCCATAAGAGCCACCATCCCTCCAAGCCTGCTCAAGCATGCAAGATTTGCAGAGTCCCTTTTGCACAAAGAGAACAAAACAGCAGCTGCATTCTCTTTCCCGCGTGGCAAGCCTGTCCGGAGAAGGCTCACCAAAACCGGCATCATGTTCGCCTTCACAATACCCATTTTCGCCTCCGGGTGGCCCGCAAGAACTGAGAGAATGGCCAAAGCCTCGTCAACCATGCACGAGCCCGTGAGCATCTTCATGAGCCCGTTTATAATCCCGGCCCTAACGGCCCTCCCTTTATTCCCATGATAGATACACAGATTAAATAAAGCAGTGGCTGCATCTTTTTTCCCTCTCGAGCTCCCCTTCTCGAGCAAATTGACCAAAGCGGATATAGCCCCTGAGGCCCCGATTATTATTTTATTCTCGTCTGCGAACGATAAACTGAAAAGTGTGGCGGCCGCATTTTCGCGGGCCTCCATGCTTTTTCCAGATCTAAGAAGCTGCACGATCGAGGGTATAGCGTTTGCCAGCATGATGAGCCGTTTGTTGTTTTCGTAAATCGAGAGGTTGAGAATGCACGTGACAGCATTTTCTTGAATTTGTGAGTTGTCAGAAGATAATAGATTGACGAGAATAGGAATGGCTCCGGCCTCGGCAAGAAGGATCCGATTGTCTGTGTTTGTTTTGGAAAATGACCGGATTTCGGACAAGGCTTTTCTGCATTCCTCGGGAGACGAGCTTGAGATTCGGTGGACAAGGGTTTGGAAGATGGAGAATAAATCGTCTGTGTGGGGGTCCGGGGGAGTAGGGTGAAGGACCTTGTGCTTGAGGCACCATTGGGAGATGAGGCTTCTGAGGACGTAGTTTGGGGTGAGGGTGAGGTGGTGGAGCTTCTGCTGGGTTTTCGGGCAAGTTCTGTTCCCACAGTCGATCCATCTTTGTATGTAGGATCTCTCATAGGTCTAAAAGGAAAACACGAATGAAACATAAAATTATAACATGTATATGAGTTTTGGTTATTGCTTTAAAAAAAAACATCAGATTTGGGATTCTGTCTGTAGTTTCTAATGTATTCAAATCGAAATGTCTTAAACTTCTACTTCTGATTCTACATAAGGAGTGAAAAAAGAACAAAATGAATCTTGAATTTTGTTAACAATGGCACTAGTTTTCTCCTACAAGTTTATGTGTTTACATAAACATTCGACTAATCTTCCGTGAATGTTTGAAAATTCGGAAGAAAAAAAATGTGACTTTTAGCTACAGCCTTGAAAACGAAGATCCAAATTTATTACATTTTAAATGCCAACTTCTGGTTGATAATGAGATAAATGACTTATTCACCAAGCACTCAGTTTTAACTGTATCCAAAATTAGCTTCTCTACAAACACTACCATCTTCTGATAATGAAACAATTTATAAATCACTTTTCGAAAAGCAATATGTAAACATCTTGAACCTTACCTGCCCCGTGGCCACAATAACTGGATCCCTCATAAGCTCGAGGGATATTGGGCAAAGAAAATCATCAGGTATCACCAAATTATCAGGCTTCTTGTTCTCCTCTCTGTTTTTGCATGGCAAGCTATTGTTTCTTGCGCAATCTAAACCCTTCGGGACACAAATCTCAGACAAGGTGGACGAGTCCCTTATTGGGCTTTCTTTAGTTTCACAAACTTCATCTAAACCTTCCACTTTCCTGCTGACCTCGTGATCAATAATGCTCGGCTGAAATGGGTCAACCTCTTTATCCAACGGCTGAGAGAATGCTCTGTGCAACAAAATTGAGTTTAAGGGCCCACCATATTTTTCAGTGGCCCGTCTCAACTGTGCTGTGACTAAATCAACCTGGTGAAGAAGGGATATCAATCTGAATCTTCATCTGAACCCAATCCATGTAAAAGATTTACAAACATGGCTATAGATTTAAAACTCACCTGTTCTTTTACTTCCTCGGTTATATCAAAATCATCGTGTGGAAAGTTAGCCAGTGCTTTCTCCAATTTCCATGTCACGCACTGAAATTGGAACATGATTTTCTTTGTGGCCACATCCTGAAGACGCTAAAATCGAAAATAAAAACCCGTCATTATATAGTCCGAGATGAAGTGTATCAGTGATGGAAGACAAGCAAGCAAAGTGATGAATGCACATCAACCTAACGCCTAATTTTAATCTTCTTGCTAGGGAGGGAGGCGATAGATAGATTTGCACAGATAAAGATTGACTAAAATTTGCAAGGCACTATACAAGTGCATGCCTAAGCAATCACGCTTCATGAAGTCATTGCACTCAAATATATGTAATTCCATATATCTCGTAACTTAGTAAAAAATAACTCTTCGAAATTTTGCATTTTGGTTTTCAAGTATAAATTCAAGCTTATGGAACCTAATGTTTATTTCACATGATAATGCCGTTCTGATTTTTTTCGAACACTCTTGATCTGCAGGTTGCAGCTATTCTTACAAAACCTTCAACTTGAAAATTATCAGAACAAACACACAGACAAACAAACATCTAATTCAACTTCATTTTCAAACCACAAAATAAAATCAACTTTACATGGCATGGCAAACATTCAGAAATCAATCAAGCAACAATTAATAACATATGGGAACAGGTCAAAAAATCCCAGATCGGATCAAAAACAGGGAAATGAATACCATCCAACTAACACATTGCTATATATTGATGATCTTTATCAGAAATTCAAACGACGAGCGAACACTAAATACCCTTTTGCATTATCATTAGAATCAGCCAATCTACAAGAAACAAGGAAATTTCCAACATAAACCACAAAAATTCCAACATCAACGCACAGATACAGACTTAATCATCATAAATCGAAAGCGGAGGATAAAAATTAAATAAA